GGGTCAGGAGAGGTCTGCCTCACCATGTGGTCACCTCCGGGGCAGGCGGGGGATCGAACTCATGCGGAAGTGGCTTAAGCTTCTTTGTGCTGTGTTTTAACCCGCTGCGCCACCAGGGAGGGTCCAGGAAAGTCATTTTTAAAGACTGGAAAGTCATTTTTAAAGACTGGAAAGTCTTCATTATTTTACAGAGATTAAAAACATCTCTTGATTTTCAAGTCACCTTTTAAATATAGTTGTATCTGATTATGAGAGGTTAGGCAAGTATAGTTTTTCTGCCTCTTAGTTTCCTGTCTGTGAAGCTTTTAGTTCTGCATTCCTCTGCTTAGTTCAGTTATATTTAGCAATTTTAACTTGGGATGTGCAGGACCCAGGAGAGCCCCTCAAGTTGTTTGTTGATTTCTCTAGGCAGGTTTGGTCACCATAGGTTTCCCACCACCACAGCAGCCATTGTCTTCCACCATAGTCCATTATGTTCTCCTTAAAGTTGTTTTCTAATGTATATATCCCTGTGCATTTTCCCAGGAAGTAACTCTAGCATTGTATTTGCATCTCAAAGTGGTCTTTACTTTAAAGAAAAAGAAAAGTTTACTTTCAGTTGTTTAAATGTTTCATATCTGTTTTGAGCTACTTATAAGTCCTGTGACAAAAGGACTAATCCTAAAAGCTGATATCAGAGCTTCACTTCTCTCTAAGTTGGCTGGTTTAATTTTGTTTGGGAAGATTTTTAATACTACGTTACTTCCAGAGATTAGCAGATAGAATAAACAAGTAGTATTTTAAAATAATTTCCTCAAATGTCATCATATTATGTGGTGGACTTCCTTCCACTGAAGTCCAAGATTGACTTGTCTCTAAGCAATGTGGATTTATATTCTAATCCACATATGTAGGTGTTTAGACACCTTGTACTTAAATACTTTAAAAGAGGGAGATAGTATCTCCACCAGTTAACATTCTTTATTGTACCCTCTCTATGCTTGAAATTACATTTTAGAGAGATACAGCTAGTCATTCTCTCAATTTGCATTTAAAAATTTGTGGAAAAAATTGAAAGTGAGAGAATTTGTTTCCCTCTTAGATATTTATGACTCTGGTTTCTTCCTTTCCATAGCTGGTTCCAAGGCTGCATCTCTCCACTGGACTAGTGAGAGAGTTGTCAGTGTTTTGCTCCTGGGTCTGCTTCCAGCTGCTTACATGAGTCCTTGCTCTGTGATGGACTACTCCTTGGCTGCAACCCTCACTCTCCACAGTCATTGGCAAGTATAGTGCTCTGTTCAGTATTCCGTTCTCTCATCAGTTTCTTTTTGCCTTAAGTTTGTCTATTCATTGTATGTGACAGAAAAGTTGTTCAAGATACTCAAGATTTACAGAATATTTGAAACACATATGAACTGTTTATATGTCCAGATTTATGTATCTACCTAATTGTTTATGTCTTCACTTCCATATCTAATAGGCGTTTAAAATATAGCACATTGTAAAACTGAGCTATTGCTTTCCTCCAAATCTCTTTTTCCTGCACTCTTGCCCATCTGGATTAACCATTTCCATTTTTCTACTTGTTCAAGCCTCAGACTTGGTCACTACCCTTGATGTTAGTAGTGGTCTCCTAATTGGTATCCTTTGGGTTACTCCCAACACAGCAGCTCAAGTGAGCACATTAAAATGTTAATTCAGGTAAGCTGTGGCCTCCTTAAAACCCTCTGTCTCCTAATGTTACTCAGACACAGAATCTGAATTCTTACAGTGTCCTGCCTGCAAGGCTGTGTGATGTGGCCCATGTTTCTCCCGTCTTCTCCAGTTGTTCCCTCCCTCAGTCACACTGGCTTCATTGATATTTCCGTATATGCCAGGGACACTCAGGCCTTTTTTATGCATATCTTCTTTCTGCCTGAACTCTTTTTTTGTCTCCTGACTTCTGTACGTGGTTTGTTTTCTCAACACCTTAATTGGCATCTTCTAAGTGAAGCCTTTTCTAACCACTTACTCAGAATTGCTTTTGTCTTTCCCCACATTTCTTATTCCACTCTTGTTTTATTTTTCTCAGTAGCACTTACTACTCTCTAGCATACTTTGTCATTTATTTGCTATTTTGGTCTTCTTTCTGTCCACTGGAATGAAAGCACAGGTACAGAAAATCACATGAACCAAATCTAGAGGGTAATGAATTATTGTAGGGGTAACACCCTTTGGGTCAAGAAATAAAACTTTGCTGCCTGCTCCCAGAAGCCTCTTCCTGGGCTCCATCTCAGTAATCACTGCTTAACTCTTTCTTCCCCCCCTTGCAGGAACTGTTATTTGGATTTCTATAGTAATATCTTTCTTGCATTATATCATAGTTTTATCACCCATTTGTGCCTCTTAGATAGTCCATAATCTTGCTCTTTCTTAAAAAAATGGAATATGAGGCCTTCCCTGGTGGTGCAACGGGTTGGAGCGCTGCCCTGTGAAGCTAAGCCAACCTGTGGCTGCTTCAGTGTGAGTTTGATCCCTGCCCTGGAGGTGACCCAATTGGTGCAGCAGACCTTCACCCACTGCTTACCTCAGCAGTGTCCTTTGTTGATCAGCCTGTTCTGCTCCCCATTCTGTCTCTGGTGAATCCTCTCACCCCTGCACTTCTGCCCTGTACCCCATTTCTGTATGCATAGATAAATAAAATCTTTCAAAAAATAAGGAGTATGATATCATTTTAACTGTTTTTGTTTACATGTTATGTCTCAAATGCCTAGAGCAGTACCTGACACAGCACTGAGTACTCAATTGAATGAATGAATTTCCAGTATTTATTTACTTAATCCAGTATAGTTTGTAAAGCTCTCTAATTAGCCTTCTAGAAGCTTGATTGTTCCTTGAGTTCATTTTATATTTTTTTGCAGAAATAATAAATACAGTGGCAGGTGGAGAGGAATATTTTTGGATTTTCAGAGCTAAAAGGAGTTTGGGAATATCTGAACCAATCATTTTGCAGATTTGTAAACTAAACCTAAGAGAGGCTAAGTGACTGGTCAGAATCATTTTCTAACTGTTGTTAAAGGGAGTCTTGCTTCTCTCATTTTCTTTTCTGGTTCTAAGCCTTTATCAGATAGACCTTTCAAAATAAAGGATTACAGTTGCATGTAAGATAGTAGATCACAATTAGTAGATCACAAGTGATACTTCTCTTAATTGGTGTTTCTTGGGAAGAGATCCATGTAAATTATTGAAAAATCAGAATAAGAAAATTCTAAAGTAATGCATTTTTTACAGTTGACTCAAATTTCTTATCTAGTTACCTAATTCTCTGTTCCTTTTGAAACATCCACACACATTTCTTGAAAAAGTTGTCTGAAATTTTGCCCCAATTCTTTTCAGTATCCAGTTTCTTTTAACCCACATTAATTGACTTTTAGCACAACAGTTTAACTGAAGTCATTATTATCAAATTCACCAAAACTTTTCATTTTTCTAAATCCAGTTACCTTATTTTCTGCCCCTCATTTAATTGAGTTCTCAGCAACAATAACCTTAATTGACCATTCTTCCTCAAATCAATTTTTGTTTGTTTTGTTAGTTCATCTCTTTTATCAACCTATGCACAATTAATTACTTGTCTTCTGGTTTGTTGGATAGTATGCCCCAAACTTAGTATTTCTTTTTGAATTAGTGAAAAAATTTATGGAACATTTGCTTTAGTTTGGAAAAACAACAACAATCAAGACTTTGTAGATAGAGTAGGCAGTTAATTATTATCTCTGGTATAAATAACTGAGAAATTGAATCTGAAGAATGAGAGATTTTTTTAACCCCTCCTCTGAGATGTTTTTATTAATAATTTTTTTTCTGGGTTATTATCATGGGTTGCATTTGAAATTCACTTGTGATTTTTCATTTGTACTGTTTCTGTTTTTTAGGGGTCTTGGACAAGTTGTTACAGACTATGTTCCAGGGGCCGCTACTCAGAAAGCTGCCAAGGCGGGCATTTTGGCACTCTCGGCTTTAACTTTTGCTGGGCTTTGTTATTTCAACTATAATGATGTCGGCATCTGCAAAGCTGTTGCCATGCTGTGGAGGCTTTAACCTTTTTGACTTAATACCTTGAGAATTGATTCTATTCTTTGCCTCTGCTCTATCACACCGTTCAACTCGCAATGAGGAGGAAATAACAGATAAGTCCATTGGTGAGAGAAACAACTTCTCCTAATCACCTGTTATTTTTCAAATTTGTTAAATGGTGTTGTTGCCCATCATCTCATATGGCTCACAATATAAACATTATATCAACATTAATATGAGCTTTTGCTTTTTAATTTACCAAATCCTTAAAGGGAATTCGGCTTTATTACCATTGCTGCCTGATCAAGCTTCTGTATTTGTCCAGGGAATGAAGGAGAAAGGGAAAGACTGTTAATTCATATGTAAAGACTTTGTAAAAAATTAGGCACTATTTAATTTTTGAAAACTTCCTTATATTTAGTTGATACCAGTGGTTACATGTCCTAGGAGACTGTAAAATTAGGAGATGCTAGTATTTTAAGTAGGAAAGAGAGTCCCTAAAGATGTATCAACATATTTCAGATTTACAATGGAAATTTAGTCCTTAAATGTGTTTATTTTACTTGTCCTAAAATAATCCATCCACAAAGCTAGAAGAAATAAATTGTTATTTTCCCATTGGGAATCTCAAATGTGAAAATGTATACTATAAAAATAAAGGTTTTTAAAATAAATGTTATATAATGAAAAGGTATTCTACTCTTTTATGTGTTAACTATCTCTAGTTTTATTAAACAGAAATGAATATTGCACACATGACACTCAGTATTTAGGTTTCCTTCTGGGACTTCATAGTTAAATCATTCATAACATACTGTAATACGAGAAGACTTACGTGTGACAGTCAGAAATACACTGTGTATGAGTACTTTGGTGTGAGGAGAATGTTAAGATTAAGTAGGAGTTAGAACTCTGTCCTAGATTATGTTCTCTAAATGCAAGCCACTGAAATTCAAACAGTAATCTTTATGTATATACACGGTCTGGTCTCAGAAGTGAGAGTAAGACGTGATGGTTTCTCCCAGCAAGGTAGAGTAACCAGGACTTGGAGCATTTCATTCACCAGGAACTTTACTGGGTGGCAGAGGCAAACTATTGAAGGAGAATTGTCTAGAAAGGTAAGTGTGCTTATGATGTCTGTATTTGGGGTTAAAGATGCGGCCTCCTTGATGTGCTCATGACCCTGTAGCAGAGTCCAGCATGTACTATATCTCTAGGAAGGGGGGATTAATTATGTTTTGGGGTGGAGTAAAGGTTTCAGAAGGGAGTGATGCCTAAATAGGAGTGGTGATCCCAGTCCGCCCTGGCAGGGAGGAGATTTATAACTGACATTTAGAATTGCTGTTGCTTGATGATAAAAGGCTGACCTTTAATCAACTTTATTGTTTTAAAATTTTCTGTAGACAGTGTTTCCCCTTATTGTTGTTCCTTCCCTCTTCCCTAGCCTCAGTACGCCACTGTTGTAACTTGGAATGATGAAATGTGGTTTTCATATACTTGAAATGGGGAGGCCAGTGACCCAGTTGTATGGGAGTCTTACAGCTATCACTGATACCCTCCAATTATAATTTGGACCTGGAACATCTATATTAAGAATCTTCATTAGATGGTAATTGAGAAATCATTGAGTAGAGGCTGGTTGGTTTAGTAATTAGGATGGAGCTAAACTCACTGTGTGAGCCACTAGAGCAGGAAGGAAAATGAGGCAGAACTGTTGGTGTTAGGACTTCGCTGAGTTTAAGCAGATTGTGAACACAATTGCCTTTCAGAGACATTAGAAAGATTGATCAGCTAGAGGCAAGATATAAGGATAGAGGTACAAGAAAGGTATGAACTTTTAATAATTGCAGTGGAAGGTAGGAGTCAATTTGATAAGATATTGTAGAAGTCAAGTACATTGATTTCATAGGTTACTGAGTGCCTTATGTAATTGTTACTGTGCCAAGTATTGTGGATAAAGAGATGATAATTTCTCTGCCCTTAAAAGTAATTCATAGTGTAATTAGGGCAACAGATAAGTGATTGTAGTACAGTGTGATAAATGCAGTGGTTAAGTCTGCAGTGATGTAACTAAGGGTGTGAGAATTTGCATTGTTCCCTGAAAGGGAAGAGTGGACCTGGGTTCTGAAAGATAAGAAACTGATAGGTGGCCAAGGAAGCTAGGGTGAAGTGTGAGGATGACGGGAGCAGAGTGTGACTGCAGGGCTGATGGTAGAGGACTTTATGTCTGGGTAAGTGAGTAAACCTGTCTGGATAGCAGGGAGGTGTCATTGTAGATTGTTATGCAAACGACGTGGTTAATGTTTCCTTTAAATAAATTATGCTGGAATCCCACTCCTAGGTATCTACCCAAAAGATACAAAAATACTGATTGAAAAAGATACCTGTACCCCCATGTTTATTGCTGCTTTATTTACAATTGGAAAAACATGGAAGCAGCCCAGATGCCCAAAAGTAGATGACTGGATAAAAAGATGTGGTACATATATACAATGGAATATTACTCAGCAACCAAAAAAGAGAAACGTCTTTTGCAGCAACTTGGATGGAGCTGGAAAAGATCATGCTTAGTGAGATAAGTCAGAAAGAGAAAGAAAAATACTGGATGGTTTCACTCATAGCAGGAGTATAATGGACCAGGCGAGAAAATAACAAAAATAATGAACAACCATAGACCAGAGACATTCTGTGGGGATGGAGTGGGGAATGGGATCAAAAGCGGGGTGGGGGGGTGGGGGAAGTGCACGGGATTATGGTGATGGCACATGGGTGACTTGGTGATGGGAAACCCGCAGGGATTACAATTGAAATGGAAAAAAAATGTACAAAATGATGTAAAAATAAACTTTTGTAATAAACAAAAAGTATAGTCAAATTGAAAAAAAAATAAATTATGCTGGGAGATGCTGGGAGCTATGTGACATACAGATTTGAGGGATTTAAGCCTGGAACAGGGAGATTATTATAGTGATTCAAAAAAGAAATGAATTCTGAAGGCAGTAGTAGTTGGAATGAAGGAAACAACACATTCAAGAGGTGTTTGGAAGTTAGACTCCAGAAGAGTTATGTGAGGGTGTGAAAGCTTGAGAGGACATAGTTTCTGCTCTTTTTAATTTTTTTTAATTATTAATTGGGTGGGAAGTGGTGTCATTAATTTTTGAAGGACTATTAGGTGACAGTAGTGGAGGAATAGGTCACTACTAAAGCTTTGGATTTATGAGATGCCCTGGTAGAGAGAATTTGTAGACTTCTACTTTTAGCAATGTAACAGTCTAAATATTAAGAATTATTTTGCTGTAGTGCTTCTAAGATTGTTCAACAGTAACACCTTTCGAAACATGACAACTTGAAAAAGGAACCAATTGAGCCAGAACAAATTGAGTCTGCCTTTAGGGAGGTTAAAAATGCTGCCTTGGGAAGCATCTGCTAATCCCACAACTCTGCGTGCCTAGGGTTCTAGTTTTAAGAGGTGACATGGGCCAGGAGCAAAGCTTTAGGCTCAAACCAATTTGAATTGGGAGTCTCCCTAAATTAGCATTTTACCCTCAAAGAGGGTGAGTTAGGAAAAAAACATTTTACTTCTAAAAGACAGCAGAGGGACTTGCCTTTCTTCTGGTTGCAGGGAAGAAAGTCTCCGCAAAATGTGACCAAATTTCAGTCCTTATGCTAGTTTCTGACCTGACTTCATACTCTGCATGTATACAAAGAATACCTGCTGTGTATTTAACAATTAACTAGGTTGGTAGTGCCCCAGAGGCCAGATAGATGGAACACAAGTCCATATTGGAGGAAGATTTCCTTAACACAGTCTCAAAATACCCACAAAGTTCCAATGAACATGAACATAAAAAAATTACAGTATACCCCAAATCAAAAATAACCTTGAACAAAGGTCAGCACAAATGACATGAACCATGGATTTGGATCCCCTCTGACATTTTAAGACACAGAATATAAGGCAGTTGTCTGACCAGGGATCAGATGGCCTTTGGAGAAAGTGATCTATACCACACATCTCAACCCATAAAGTCTTGGTAGATGGATGTCTGCTATGGAAAGTGTCTCTGGTGCATGGCATGTCTATTCTCAGTTCTGTCCGGAATATCCAGGCTAGAGGGTGCAGAATACTTTCATGCTACTCTGAGAAGCATATATCCATGGCTGTGGGCCCAGACCTTAGAATTATACTCGAGGTTAGAAGTCCTCGAACTCTTCAGGGTGGTTGTGAGGCTGAACTTTTTTGGTTATTTCTGAATTTATCCTAGTGGTAGGTCATGCTGGTAATGGTGAAGGCATAATATAGTGATGATACATGCCTTTTAGGAATAGAGCATGTGTGTTGGGGGTAAGATTATATATACATGATTCAGTTTTGGAAAATGTGATTACCACATACCAAGAATGGAATCTATTAGAGGGTGAATGCAACCTGGCTTTATGTGACCCTCTTGTAACCATTTCATATGAGTATGAGACATAAAATGTAAGTCGCAGTAGTGTTAGTCAGCATAAAGCTTAGAGCCAAGGGAAAGTTCCATCTAACTAGAAAGTTATAACTAATATTTCAAAGTACTTGCAGGGTTATTGTGTAGTCAAGTAAAGTCTATTTGTAAATGGATTATGATCATTAAAATGACCCTGGTTTTACCACTTATTGGGCATTTTTTTGACTTTGTAAACTTTAAGCCGACTTGGTCCTGTAATTTGGGTTATTATCATTATTTTCAGCATAATTATTATCAACATGGAGATAATTTGGGAGAGACAAGTAGTTTGAAACAATTTCACAAAGCCTAGTATCTTACTTTTCATCCATTTTACGACACTGCCAGTGAGGATAGAATGTTGTATATTAATTCTCTTAAACAGAAATTAGATTGAACTGCTGTCTTTGTAATATGTGGGGAAAGCTGGGAGGGACTCCTTATATGGTAGGAGATACTGACGTATAAACTTGAATGGGATTTATTCATCATGACAAATGTTCTTTGAGTGTTGTCAATAAGGTGGTTTCAATTTTTGATTGAATTGTGTGAGGTTAGAAAAACTTTTCATACAATATGCTGTAATCACAATCTTCAATGCTGATCCATAGAAAGTATGGTTATTAACTTTTAATTCTTTAGCAAGATGGCATGCTCTCAATAGAATTATCAGTTCAGCTTTCTGAAGTATTAGTTATAAAAATACCCCAAAAGGCCCTCCCTGGTGGCGCAGCGGGTTAAAGCACTGCACAGAGAAGCTGAAGCCACTTCTGCATGAGTTCGATCCCCACCTGCCCCGGAGATGACCACATGGCGTGGCAGACCTCTCCTGACCCCCCTGCTGCTCCCCTCAGCAGTGTACTTCGTCGATCTGCCTGTTCTGCTCCCCACTCTGTCTCTGGTGAATCCTCTCACTCTCACCCTCCGCATCTCTGGCCTGTACCCCAGTTCTGTACGAATAAATAAAAAATAAATCTTTAAAAAAAACTCCAAAATAGGATATTTAAAAGTTACAGTGTGTTTTGAATGAGTACACCTTGATTCTTTTTAAGCTGAGTCAACATCAAGTGGTTATATGGAATGTAGACCCCCTTTGTGGTCTAGGTTAAGTCTTAGCACTGAGAGATCACTGCTTTAGCCTGGCCAGGGAGCTGACCCTCATATGGCGGTGCTGTCCTCTCCTATCTCACCCACT